ACACACACAACAACTATGTGTTTAGTTGACATTTGACAAGTGAATTTATCGATAGCATGTTTTGGAGTACTGTGATCCCCTCTATAATAATTTCTTTTTTCTTTTTTTCTCTCTTTTGAGCGGGACCTCCTTTTTCTCCCTGGATTTCTCCTGGCACCATTGAGATAACATGAACCCTCCCTACTCATGCAATGCACACATGCCAGGTGTGTAGGCTTTACCAGACCTAGGTTTTAAGTTTGTTTCCAAGAAGACTTGGTTCTAGGAACAAAATCGTGGATAAGGAACATCTCACACACTGACTTGCCCAATATATGAAACCTACTTTAATATTTAGTTTGAAATGTGACCTCTTTAATCTCATTAATTTGCTGTTCACATTTAAAAGATTTATCCAGATTAGTACCACAAAGATGCAGCTAAGGTCAAATGAGCACTAGATCAGTGTGAAACACAGTTGCTTCCTGCAGGATTAACCTAAAAAGCAAAGAAAATGCAGCTTAATATTTTAGCTTTGTGCACATAACATTTTGTTTTATTATTATAATGGTAAAAAACTGCTGAAAAATTTCAACTTGAACTCAATTTCACTATATCAACATTCCAAGCATCATATCCATGATAAAAAGTTAACACAATTGTACAGTAGCTTAGTAAAGAAGATGTGCTGGGCCTAAATGAAGATTAGATCTATGATATATTTAAATATTTTTTAATTCCCTGACAAACCTTTTGTTTTTCCTCGACGGGGGAAAGAAGATGAAGGACATTGTGGCTATGTAAATGTAAGGTAGATTTTGTTGTTATCCAGTTGCAGCAATATGCTTTACTGTACTGTAGTTGCTACTCATCATTTTTCCAAATTATTATTCGAAATACATAGTATTCAGTCCAATACTAGCCCCGCCCCTTGGATGTTGTTGCTTAGGTCCCACAAAACATATGCAAATGTGTGCATTTGTGGGAGAGCATGTGTGCTTGTTAGACATGCGCATATTCCTGGCCCTGTTCTGATTGGTCAGTTGTTAAGTTTGATTGACACTGGTCTATTGAAGAGCTCAATACCAAGTTATTCCTGAACCTTTTGCTAATACTGATGATGTTAACAGATCCTACTAATATGTTAATGATCATTGAGGATATTCCATACCTGTAGTACAGCAGTTGGACCAGAATTTAAATAGAACAATAATTTTAAATCACATTTGGAGTAGCTAAAAACATTGAGAAAAAAAAAGTACAGATACCACTAATACTCCTAGAAAGGAGGTTTAATAAATACATTATTATATTGCATTTTTATGCTATTGGTTTTTTTTAATTTTTATTATTTGAAAGTTTAATCAATAAATTCTTGTTTTTTTCCAGATGCTCAAGAGTTAGATTTACCTCTGCTCAAAAAACCTCTCCACTTCTACAGAGATCAGTCAGAGGCTCCACCATTACTGGTTGATCTTGGACAGAGAGTGAAGACAGCTGATGGATATGTCATGGTATCTGGAGAGTACAACCACTCCATCCCACCAGCACTTTCAAATTTGTTGGATTACTTCCCTGGCAGTTCCTTTTCATACAAACCTTCAGCAATTGTCTGCTACTCCCCAGGTGAGTTGTTCTGTGGTCTTTATGCATGAGAGCACAATAGGTGGGAAATGCATAGTTTCTTTGTATTGTAAATGTATCATTTGTCGTGTACTCCCTAGTCAACAATTGAGGATGGGCTACACAAAAAATACATTAAGATTATGAAAACTTTTTTATGGAGTTTTATCCCTGTTTGTTTACATAAGTTTGCTTTTATACTAAAGTCCAGTCAAAAATCACCTTAACCATGGTATAAGTTCCTACCTCAACGAAACTCAACCGTACAGTAGTAGGTACTTTATATATTGGAAAGATCATATCTTGATGTTGCGTCATACAAAAAGTGGGATTTAAGGAAAAAAAGCAACTTTGATAACCAGATATTAGCCGCTTGTTACCGTTGATTGTTTACCTCGAGAAATGACGCACGAGAATAAATATAACAATACGCCATTTGCGTCTCTACAAAACCTATTAGCTAAATGATACCTTCGCTAAAAATTACTAGTATCACAATGAAATTTGATACAGTATAAATACATAAATACTGTATGACGATATATTTTTAATCATAAAAATCTCTAAAAAAGCTGAAGAATAACTATAAATAAGTGCGAGTTAAAAAAAAAGTTAACGTGGCCTTCCATATAAAATAAACTACGCCCTTAATCGGATCAATTTTTTTTTTTTTAAACAAGCGAAGCAACGGTATGGTTATGTCAATGTTGTTTATTGCCTCATGTTCATAATAACTAAGCATGACCCACTGGGTCCCATTGGTTTGCAAAGTACAATTGGGATGTTTTTCACCATAAATTAATATCTAGCCCATGGTAGTTCTTTTTTTTTTTTATCTTCATTGGCTATTTGTCACGTTCACTATTTTTTTCTTTTGTATTTAGAATAAAAATATATTATTGTTTTATCATTAATTTTTGAATACATTAATTGCCTTCTGCAGTCTTAAGTTTTGCACAGTAATTGTGGGCGACGATGATAGGTCTACTTTTAATATATTAATTATTACATATTAATATCCATGATTGTCTAGTCATGCAAAACAGGAGTGGCGCCAGGGTTTGCCCGACGGGGGGAGGGGGGCGATGCCCCGACGAGGGGTCAGATTTCCCCAATGAAAGCAAAGTTGGCGTGGTCGAGTTTCGATTAAAAGGTCTTGAAGAAGCCCCCGAAAAGTCCAACGATGACAAGCAATGACAAGCGGCTAAAATCTGGTTATAAAAGTTACCTCTTTTCCTTAAATCCCACTTTTTGTATGATGCAACATCAAGATATGATTTTTCTAATATATAAAGGACCTACGGTTTGAGTTTCGTTGAGGTAGGAGCTTGTACCATGGTTAAGGTGATTATTGACTGGACTATACCAAATGAGAGAGAAAACTATTTTGTCCATTGGGAGAGTGTAAACATTGGTTTTGGGTTATCTGAGGACTAGCAGCTGAGCCCATACTCAGTCATGGACGTTCCAACTCAAAATTTGGGAGACTGGACGTGACCTGGTGAAGTGTGCCCCCACCCCAGAAATGTTTGAAATCTAATCTAATCTTCCTAGGTGTCAGCAACACACGGAAATTCTTTGTACGCCAACATCATTGATAAAGTTGATGCACAAAGGAGAAATTGGTACAGAAATACTCAATTATTGGCACCAAAATGCTTTATGGTGGTTTTTGGAAAATTCTGGTGAATGCAACAAAATTTGGGTGACCGGGAGATTGCATGTAAATTTGGGAGAAACTTAATTGAATTGGAAGGGTTGGAACTTTTGCAGTCAGTTAGAGCAGTATGTCAGAAGTCTAGATCGCCTTTAAATCCTGATGATGCCAATTTGGTTTTTTTCATCCTTTTGGATTTATATATTTAAGTTTATGGTGCACAGATTAATGTATGGGTTATAACAAATTTAAGTTAATTTCATTATACTGTACATTACATACATTATCAAAATTAGTTTAAAGGCAATGAAGCAAAGGTAAACCTTGTTGACTAAACTTTGTATTTCAGGGCAATATGGAGGTATGAGAGCAGCCATACAGCTCAGGGCACTTTTAGGTGAAATCGGATGTCTCAGTGTTTCAAATATATTTGGAATCCCTCAGGCTAATAAAAGTCTGGATGAAGAAGGCAACCCACAGAATGATCACATGGAGTCCGGAGCCAAGAGACTAATCACTCAGCTGGACTGGCATGCTCATGCCATGAGAAACCACCGGGAAAGCGTTGGCATTCCCAAATAGTAACACAGTGCAACATTTAGAATAGAAGATAGTGTAGGTGTACATGTATCATCAGTATAATCAGTACATAGTCTTTAAGTTAGAGGTGCCGGGGTAGGTAAAAAGGCATGCAGAGTGGCATTGCTGGTGAGAGAAATGAAGGGGCTCGAGCCCTAGACAGACAGCAACCTGACGGCCATTACTCATCAGACCAAAAATGATACAAGTCTTTGACCATGTAATATTGTCTCATCAGAACTGCTTGAAAATGGCCCAAAAATACTGAGTTTCTCTGATGATGAGGAGTAGCCTCCTGGTCCTCCACCCGGTCAAGCGATGCCTGGTGGCCCTGCTGGCCTTCGCTGCAAATGGTCAGGCCTCTGTAAACAGCTGTGCCCTTGAGTGTAGATTTTGGAGCCACTGTTGTGCATGCCATATAGTTTTGAACCTAAAAATTTAGGGATCAATGCTTTGTTTTTTAATATTTCAATTATGGTAATAACTTTTCTCCTGTACAGTAGTATATAGTGCAATTTCTTAAGATACTGTATATCAAATAATGAAACATATAGTACTGTGTGTGAAAGGCATACTCGTATGCTGTGTTATTTTTTTACATAAAGGTTTTATTCACTCAATGACCAATTTTCTGATTAACTTGAACAAATTGAGGGATCATATTGTTGAGATAATAATAACCTTATATAATATAATAATTATAACCTTGTTTACACAGCCGTTTGCCATCAAATAGGTAACACCGATGATCTGCAGGTGCACGTCTACACGATAAAAAACTATCGGTTGTACCCGGCAGTCACATGATTAAAACTGACCTGAAAAAAATGCGCGCATTCCTGCTTGTTTTGAAACTCTCTGTCAAAAATGTATCTAATTTGATAAAAACATAATTTTTCAAACAATAATAATGCTATTCACGCTGTTTATCAACAGGGAATTCTGGTGATGACTCACACAGGTCAAACAACAGCTAATTTGCATAAAGATCACGTCGATGATCTATGTTAACACCGCTGCGATGCAGAGGTAACTGTGTCAAATCATCGCAGTTACTAACTCTGTTTACAAGGCCATTTGAACACATATATTACAGATAAACACGATCATCACAGTGATTTTCTGCAATGTAACCATGATTATTATTGTTCAAGTGATTTCAGTTGGCTTTTAATATATTTTGGTTTTACTTAGCCAAAAAACATAATGATGATCAAAACTGTTGTGGAAAGTGGTATGTTGTAAAATATGTTTTTTGCCTTAGTATTTATAAAATTATGAAACTTAACTAAAGATAATAATATTGGTATAAAACAGTATTTATTTTTTATTCAATTTTCTTTCAGTAGTGAAGATAAAACACGGACATACACATTCATTATAATCACTCTCACTAAACATACATCACTCAATCTTGAGGGGTGGTGGCAGGATTTGCCCGATGGAGTGGAGGGGGCCTGGTGTCCCTGATGAGAGGAAAGTGGGTGTGGCATCACTCAAACAGTTTTGAAGGTTGAAGCACCCAAAAAAATATGACAATTTAGAAGTTTCAAAGGCTTGTTTTATCAATTTTATAGAGTCTACTGTTATGTAGATAATACATATAATTTTTCTTTCTCCTCCCCATCTGGCACCACCCCTGTATATCTTATATAGTATACTGAAGTAAAATCTTGCATTAAATTCTTTTCAAAAGTTATTTAAAAATAGCTTATTAAGAGTACATATAATCAATACTGCATATCATATTAAGGTCTACTAGTTTCTCTGATGTAAGCCATCCACCTTAAACTTGTAATTTATTCATTTTTGGTTTAAACCCGAGGACTAGAAAATGTAAATAGTAGACCGGACCTTGTTTCAAGCCAAAAAGCCCAAATGGTTCGCAACATGTGTGGGGTTTGCCAAATTAAAATGGTCTACTCTGCACATAATTATGGGGTCCGCTAAAAATTTAGACCAATTTTTCCCGATTCCATTGTTTTTCTCATCTTACTGCTAGTCATTAAGAGTTTAGTCATTAAGAGTTTAGTTATCAATAATGAAATAGCTATTCCAAGGGGCCTGTGAATGCAAAAAGTTTAGGAGCCACTGATCTAGCCAACTGTAGACCATCAAAGTTCATACTAGGCCTTGTAAAGTAAACCTCAGTATACCATTAGCATTTTGAAACTAGATTTCAATACAATCTTCAGTTCATTCAGAATCGTATAAATAGAATTTTTATTCCAAAATGCAAGTGGTAGATATTGAATATATGGTATGTTGGTCATTATAAACACACTTGTGATTTTTTAATGATAAATTTCATGTCCAAAGAATATCAAGATGCAAATGACAGAGTATAAAATTTATTCAATGAACCAAAGGTCTAAAATAATAGTGTTACCATATAGGAAAATATTTTTTAAAAAGCAGGGTTACAGACTAAATTTGGAAAGCATGTGTATATGTATATATACAGTACATGTGTGCCCAACATTTCCAGGTATCATCTGAAATGGTGTTAACTGCTGATGACAACAGTTCAATTTGTAATTTGCCTTTATAATATTTTTATCAACTTTCATATCTTACATAATTTCAAACTTTATATATTTTATATTCAATTTGAGTAAAATTTGTAATAAGGTCTCATTGTACAGTAGGTGTAATATAGTAAAATTAGTGAAGACTGTGGATTAGGGATTCATATTCACCTATTTTCATGCCAGCCAAATAAATTATTGTAATATCCTATTCTTTAGAGAATAAAATTTTGAAAAAGTGTTGTTTGATTCTTTAATGAAATTGTCTGTGTTGTGAAATTAAACTAGATGAATAAAATTAAAAAGAAAAAGAATTCCACTCGTAGACACAATTGTCACATTTTGTGACCTTGAGTAAACAAGCACTCCTATTCCTACAAAAAAAAGATATAATTGAACAAAAAATAGAAAACTAAATACATTTTTAAATAATAATTTCAGAAGATGTTTATTGATATTGAACAGAGTTTTTAAGTTACCTGGGAAATAAGAGAGTTGCTGTAATAAATTAAGTGATCAGATGCTACAGTACTACAGTATGTATGTTCTTTATATTTTCATATTTAATATGAAAATGAAGAAAGAAAAAATGGGTAATGAAACTATCAGCTGATAAAAAATTTCTGCAGTATACAAAAACTTCACAAAGAATACCGTAAAACCTTGAATTGAAGCCCTGGGCTTCTTTTTTTTGCGAACTTTGGATAAGCTTCTTTTCAAAATGAATGCTGTAAAGTTTTGTAAATTTGTACTTCTAAAACAATAAATAAGGCCACTGTAACATCAATCTGTATCATGGAGTGTATTCAACTGGCATTAAATCGCCTAAACTACTGTAAAAACCAAGCTTGTATTTAATTTATTTTGTTTTCTGAAATTCATGAACAGTGTACAGTATGTACAGTACTATGCTATCTTGAAAAGAAGCCCATGGTTGTCTTTTTGAGATGGGCCTCTTTTTGAGGCTAATTTTGCAAACAAGAGGGGGCTTCAATTCGAGATGGGCTTCATCTAGAGATTACAGTAAGCCCACTGGGCTTCAATTCCAGATTTTACAGTATTACCGTACTCGTGCGAATAAGCGCCCAGGCGCTTAAAATATTTTTGCACTTTTTGAGGGGTGCATATTCGAACGGGGCGCTTATGAAAACAGAGTGGAAATTGAGGGGGCGCTTATGGAAATAGATGAAAATCGAGGGGTTCTTATGAGAACTTATTAAATTCAAGAGGCACATTTTGAATGAAAAACAATTATATAAGGACATCAGGAAATCGCAAATTATGAATGGTGGTGCGGCGGAAAAGATAAGCAAGGCTTGTCATGACAAGAATGTTGTGAGTACAGTATTACATAACAGCAAAATAGCAGATAAAATTAGTGGTGGTGGTTAGCTTGTTGGCCATCGGCCGATTAAGATAGCAGGATGGTATGATCATTGCAGGTTTTCTTGAAAACTAGGATGAAAATGTGTAAAAGGTGCAATTTGCCAGAAAAGGAGTAGGAGGACTAGGCTATGGACAAATGCAAGAAGATGATGAAATATACTGTCTGTCCAGGGAGTTCTCATCTGTCCAAGATACTGTAAATATCCTCATTTTGATATTGACTAAAGGGGAATGTGATTCCACTCCACACCTCAAATCATGCCAACATCCAGTCTCAGGATTGATTGGATTATTGAGGGGGTGTTTATTCATATTAGAAGGGGGGCGCTTATTCAGACAGGGCGCTTGAAGAAATTTTCAAGTTAGGAGGGGCGCTTATTCAAACGGGGCGCTTATTCACGCGAGTACGGCAATTCCAGACTAACAAATTTTTCTGAAAATTAGGTTTTGACCTAATCTTAAATAATGTATTATGCAGTACTGTAATTAGTATTCTGTGCACCTTTTTTCCTAGCGATTTTCTGCGCAAATTTGAGCTGGCTTTGAGGTATCATTCGAGCAATTTTTAAACTCAAATCTATGTTCTAGGCTTGTCATACCAAGATATTGCAGATGAATAAATAAATATTCCAGTGGGTGGAGAAGGCTAATAATATAAAGCAAAAAATTGTATACAGCATAAAATCATTCAAATATATATTAATGAAACCAAGAGACCTTAAGACAAGACTTTTATACCTTGTTTAGTAAACCCTCGAACCGCCAATAATGGTGAATTTTAATAAAAACAAAATTAAATTTTTGGCCAGTTAGTGTACCCTCCGTCATGAAAAATAGTAGAAAAAAATGTATTTATTTTTATTGCGCCCTCCGCACACCTGAAATTTTCAAAAATAAGATATATACTGCATATTTGTTCCTTAATTATATAAATCGCATATCGCATCGTTTACCATAATCAGTACATGTAACTATTTTAAATTTCTCATCTGCCTAGAATAAGAAAACAATTTTTATCTTTTTCCTCCCTCCTTTGAGGATCGATAGAAAAATAAGTTTGCTAAACTAGGTATTAAAAAGTCTTGGCTTATGTTATTTATTGCATGTGCTGATCACTGTTTTAACAAGAACAATCTACTGTACCTGTAGGTTACTGTTTATATTATTCTAAAAAAATAATTTGAATTGAACATTTAAAAGAACCACATCACATCAACATTCAACACACAGTAATTCAGATAAATATCAATCAGTTTTCATTAATGTTAATTTTAATATAAAAAATCTTTTAATTTGCTTGCAGAAATTGAAGATTATGTAGACTGACTTTGGTATTTTATAAGTCAGAGCTGCTAATTGGCAAGGAATATATTTTTGCTCTACTGTAATTTTCAATTGGAAACTAATACAGGTGTCCCTCTAATTAAAGTTCTTCCAATGAAAGACCACCTCCAATTAAAGACCACATTTCTGCAGCCCCAAATATATCTTTTATCTTTTCAAAAATATTTGTTCTAAAGAAAAAGCTTCTATTAAATTTTTTAAGACAATGAAAACCCTAGTCCCAAAAGTGGTCTTTAGTTGGAGGGTGACCTGTAAATTGTAATATAAAAATTAATCAATTTATTTTTCAACTTAGTGTCAGCACCACTTTAATCTACTGTACGTCATTGTTAATCAATGCAAATGTAATGTTTAAACATTGTCTGGGACTCTCTGGCGTATCGTGAGAGTGGTTGGTACAGTGGTTGCATTTTGGTCACTCAGCTTTGAGGTCAGAGGTTCAAACCTTCGCTGTGAATTTTGCTTATGTCATTGGGCTATACTGATGTTTGTCTCTCTCCAAACAAACCAGAAGTATCCCCCTGGGTGGTAGGATGATGTGCATTGAATGTATTATTAGACTTTCAGCATTAATTTGCCTCCACAACTACTGTACGAGGAATACTCCCCAGCGAATGAATTGAGATTGTCAATCAATCTATCAATCATTCCATTTGTATGACGCCATTCCAACAGCCATGCTGATATATAGAGTTTTTCTTTTATTTCTTATTATGAAGCCTCACATTAGACATCTCGATTCTTCCTTGTAGCAGACGTTCTGTCCAAATTACATATGATACTACTTTCTAATCTTTTTTCAAATATTGAAATTACAATACAGAACTTTAGTGTAATTAGCAAATACTCATGCAATTAATTCTCCAGTTACAAATTCAATATTTTCAGAAAAACTTCAAGTATTCATTAACGTATAAAGTGGAGTTTGTGATGTCACTTGAAGATAGTCTTTTTTTTTATTGTATTATCTAATAAATATAGGGCCTAGGCCTAGGCCCTAGTCCGCATTTCAATCCAATTCATTCTTCACAGTTTAGACATTAATTCTTGGGCATAACTTGTAAACACCTAGCGAAAATATCATCCACAGAGGAATAAAAACAAAATAGTAGCGTAGATCACCGATATTCTCTAATCGTAAACACAGCAAAACCTGGAATACAATTTTTAGAACTAAAACCACAAGCATCTGAATTTTCAATGTCAAACTTTTCAGGGTGTCGGCTTGGTCATAACCATTTTTGCAATGTCTCATCAGACGAAGAGTTACGTACATTATTAAAACAAGGTCAAAAAACCAGACAGGAATGAATATTATAAACCAGTTCCAATGAGCTTCATCGTTCAAACGTAATGCCACAAGAATTAGAAACAAAGAGGTGAAGAACGAAGTAAGCATCACCTTATGTAACAGCGCCATGTTTGTTTATAGGGAATCCCTATGATTCCCATCATGCTCAAAATAGTTTCTTCTTTGAGGGGGAATTTATGTATACGATTGGTCATTATATAAAAAGATATACCGTTAATAATTGTAATATCTTCCAAAAAGTTATAAATACTAATCTAAAATAATGAAGTATACATAGATGTTAATATTACAATTGTCTAGTTTATTATTAAGCCGAAAGTCCTAAGATAATGTACTTTTATAATGAATGGTATAGGCTAGGCCCAAGCCTGTACCCTAATGTCAAAGACTAGGATCTTTGTTATGTCAATGCTGTACAGAGGTAATTTTTAAAAAGGTTGGATGTTGAAAATTTAAGTGGTGGTAATGATGTAATTGCTTGGTTTATTGCGATATTGTCCTGTAAGTTGGAATTCAATATTCCGTAAATACTTTAGTTTAGGCCTAGGCCTATAAAATATTGTTATTACCTAACTAGGTAGGGGCCTAGCCTTACTTACTTAGCCTAGGCCGTAGGCTAGGCCATTTATTCGTTTGTTTGGTTGACACTCTGCTGAAAAGAAGGTGACACCCATAATGACCAGCTGCAAATATCATCACTGCGAGTCATGCGTGTCCCAGAGGAGGGGTTCTGTCTTATTAAATATGCCTAGGCTACTGCGAGACCTAGGCCTAGCTAGCCTAGGTGCGCCGGTTAGGCAAGGCATAGAGTATTAGTAGTAATGTGTCCTGTCCTACTAAACACCACACGGACCACACGATACCACACGGACCACACTGATGCAAAAAATAATTAAAATATTACCACACGAGAGTAGAAAACTGCCTAATAATCAATAAAACCAACTTTTAAAGTGATAGTTGTCGAATTATGGTAAAAATTGATCAATTTTTTTACATGTTTTGCCGCCGTGGCTCAGCAGAAGGTAATACGTTGACATTGAGTATCTCTAACGAATTGACGTCTGCAAAAACGTGTTCAACCACAACCTTTATAATAGGCATACACACACTATGTACGTTTCATCTCATCTCGAGACATTCTATGAAGGCTAACTGAACTTAAAAACTGTAAATATAAAAAAGAAAAATATAATTTGCTGTTAATATTATTAATTACTATGTTATTATACTATAGTAATTAAAACTATTTATATTGTTACTGTCACATTATTAATAATATTATAATATCATGATGCTATAGGCCTTATGTATTTAAATTATGTATATTATAAAAGTGGAGACTAATCACAAGTGACAGAAAACAAGAGTTGACGTCTTTCAGGAACAAAAATATATTTATTTCTTCTCGAAAATTTTAATCGCCCCTGCCTTCTTCTTTGTGATATTAATGAAGAAGGCTGTGTACTCGATAAAATAACAGTACTGTAATGGTTTATTGTAGCTGTACAGGGCTGTTATATATGTATAATAGGCCTATGTCAGTAAATTATAAATATACTGTGCCGTAGTTAGGCCTAAAGTGGTTCAGGAAGCAATCAACATATTTTACTACATACAATGATAATGAAGTGAGCGATCCCAAAGTAAGTAGATAATTGAGAAAATGTGTTATAAATGAAAATGTGTTTATAGAAATAAATATATTTTTGAATCTTGAATCTATTTGTTTTTATTCTACTCGTAATCCAATGGAATTTAATTCTTGACTTCTGATAAATTATTCGTCCTGAATCTATTCATATATAGTATATTTTATATTAAAGCAATCTCCTTTACTCAATTGTTGTAACACTGAATATACTTAAAAAAAAACAAAAAAACAAAAAAAACGAAACAATAATAATAACGAAATGGATTCTGAACTAACAATTTTTCTCTTCCGTGGGAGTTACACCCACCTTTATTTCAATCTTATAAATAAAATTTTCAATTTTATAATACACATATTTAAAATCTATATAAGGCCTATTACGATACTATAACAATATTAATAATAATTATGTGAAAATGATAACAATAATAAATACATTTTTTGTACATTATTATTATCATTAATAATTCAGTTCTTGAAGTTAAGTCTTCGTCTAAACTCCTTGGGGTCGTATTAGATGAAAAACTAACATTCAAAGAACATGTTAAATATGTTAGTATTAAATCTACAGTCAGCTCTTAGATGTCTGTGTCATTTAGGTTCCCTCCCACTTGATGTTAAAATCACCCTGTTTAACGGTCTCGTTCGTCCTTATTTAGAATACTGTAGTGTTGCTTGGTCTCAGACTTATAATTTCATTCTTCATCCTTTATACTGTATATTATCTTTAATAGAGGGATCAAGTTTATCAAACGCTTAAGTCCTAGAACTTCAATTCGAGAACCGCTACGAGGACTTAACTGGATGGATCTCTCCACACGGTGGCAATTACATATTATTCTTTTTATTTTTGAATGCTTCTATTCATTGGCTCCTTCTCCGGTTATCGATCTCATTTGGAAAAGAACCTCTATCACCTCTAGGGCCGGAAAGGGTTTATACAACATCTACCCCTATAAAGCTACTCGGAACTATGGTAGAAATCTTATTGGGTGTTATGGAGCTAACTATGGAACTCCCTTCCTTTCACAATTAAATGCAGTGCGGGATTGTCAATTTCTTCCTTTAAAAGGATACTTAAGCTTCATCTCCTTGATGTGACCGGTACACATAACATTGTTTGATATATTTGGTTGTTCTTGTTTGGGCGTGCTTCTTTTTTACATAATGATATATATAATTTTTTTTACATAGCTTTTAAAGGAAAATAATTAAATTTAATGATATATTTTTATACTATTTAAAAAAAACTATAAAAACATTTATTGACATTTCTTTTTTCTCTATGAATGTGCTGTTTTTGCTGTTTGCTCTGCTTTATGTCTCTTTTGTAATTTGTTTGTTGTGATGAGGACTCCTCTGAAAATCAGCTTTGCTGAGTGGGACATTTCCTCTGAAAATATTAATAAAACAAAGAAAGAAAGAAAGAATATTACTATAACATAATACAAAATGAATAATATTAACAACAAATACTATTCTCCTTTATATTATTTACAATTTTTAAGTTTATTAACCTTCATGTGTTGTGCCTTGCATATTTTTCTATCGATGAGGTACTCAAGGTCAACGCATTACCTTTTGAAGCACGGCGGCAAAACCTGTAAAAAAATAACCAAGTTTTACCATAATTCAGTCAACTATCACTTTAAAAGTTGATTTTTATTGATTTTTAGGCAGTTTTTAACTCTCATTTCGTAATATTTTAATTATTTTTGCATCCGTGTGGTCCCGTGTTGTTCCGAGTGGTTGCGTGTGGTGTCGTGTGGTGTTTAGTAGGACCCGTAATGTCTATGCCTAGCAGACTATTATTGCAGTATAGTATCGCAGATCACCGCAGTCAATCCACTCTGGAGGATGTTTGCTGTATTTTGCAGACCTGCTGTACCAAGTCTCATGCATTCAAGGTCTGTCTCATGGTCTTGCGCTTAAAAAAGGACTAAAATCTTTTGCATACATGCTTTGCCTATATTTGAAAATATATGTATACTATTTTTGACTTATGGTGCTGTTAATTAATCAAAACAAACTTGGCACACATCCAAAACGGCCCCCAGCAGGAAATTCAATCCAACTAGCAAACCATACCAAAACCAACTCCGACCAAAATTCAACATGGCCCAACCCATTTTTATATGGTTTCTCATATAATAATGGTATCTCATGTTTATAATATATAAATTTTGATGAGCATCATAGCTGTGACTGTGAAATTCCGAAAAAAAACCCTAAAAAACAATTAGATAAAACAGTACTCAGTCTCCCCCTTAACAAAGGCACACCCTAACAAACTTGTGCTGACAAAATCTCCCCCCTACAAACTCATCCCAAACAAACCGCTTCCCCCAACTATGAACAGTCGCTCCCCTACAAACTTGTCCCCCTATAAAACACGTCCCCTGTGAAACTTTCCTTTAACAAAGTCACCCACTAACAAACTCGGCGACTGTATATAGGGAAAAGTTTAGTACTTGGTACTTTGCCAGTGGGAGAGTTGGAGGGGGACTTTGTATGGTGCAAGTTTGTTGTGGGGAGACTTTGTAGGAGGCAAAGCTTTATGCAGGAGACAAAAAATTGGACAAGGTAAACAATTCTATTATGATGGATATTGCTGGAAATTGAGTTATAGGAGACTTTTTTAATACCTACATTAGCGAACTTACTTTTTTTAAAGATTGTCAGAGGAGGGTGGAAAAAACATAAAAATTGAATGTTGTTTACTTATTTAACAAAATTATTTTGTCAAAGGAGTAGAAGATACTGTACAAATAAAATGTTACTGATGTTATGTAAACAGTTTATTAATGAGATTGATAAATGCTTTAAATTTATTAATTACGGAAGAAATTTATATCTTATTTTTGAAATTTTAGGGGAGTGGAGGGCGTAATAAAAATAAATTTATTGTATATTTTTTTTAAATTTCCATTTTTCGTGTCGGAGGGTGTGCTAACTAGCCAAAAATAAAATTTGTATTTTATATGAAATCCCCATTATTGGTGCCCATAGGGTTTGCTAAACAAGGTATAAAAAGCCTTGCTCTACTGGACCATAGTAATAGTTGCATGTTTTTGACAAAGTCATTGTAAAATTATGAAGTTACACCTTACACCCTGTAGCATAGACGGTACCTATCACATAATCAATACCGCAAAGCTACAGTGTTGTTTGTTTTAGAACACAATCTGAAATCAAAACAAATATGAATTGTATTTTTAGTGTAGCATGAGTTAACATTTTTCCCCAGTTTTCTCAAGTATACATGTATAGACAATCAAATTTTATTTGACAAAAATACCACGACATATATTGGCATGACATGAATATATATGGGCATACAGTAGGTAGTAGTTATATTTTTCAAATAGAGTTGAACTTTTACTATATTGATCTGCCATGAGTGTTAGGATTATTTTACAAAACATAAATATTAATTCCAATCAAATGAGTTTAGGAGCTAGAGCTTTAAGACTGTAAATGAATATGCAAAACATAATTCTTCCATTTAATATCATATAAAATGATAAAAATCCAGCAACACAGGGAATTAAGAAAAATATACATTCAAAAAATTTAAAACATGTTACTAATCATACATAATTTCCAACAAAGTATAGTGTATGTATAAATAGATAGCAAGTGTGTTAAAAGATTAAAAGATGTTAAATTTCCAGTGTGGTAAAGTTGTGCTAATGGCTTGAATTTATTATTTGTTTTTATTTTTTAAGGAGTCTGGTATAGCATCAATAAGTCGAGATTGTTTGTTTGGTTGCTATTAGAATGGATGCATTGACTGCAGGGCTACATGATGCTATCGTTCAGTTCCAAAAGAAGGTAAGCAATAATTTTCTAACTTCATTTTGATATTATTTTAAAATTCCTGAAGTGCTATACCTGACCTCTATATACATGACTTACCTTAATATTTGCTTGTTTTGTCTCACATCTGACTGGTAGTATATAAACCAGTAGAAGCATAAACATTATTACCTGATGGTGACGTGGGACACATCGAAACATGTCGTTCATAAGCTTCATAATATATATATATTCTCTTGCAGATCGGTGCTTACGATAAAGACTTATGGGAAGAATATATGGAAGAGACAGAATTGCAGGTACTGTAATCGTTGTGTGAGCACTTCAAGACAATTATGCAACTACAAGGGTCCCAAGTGTCCCACAAGACTCGTGATGCAGAGTCTCCTGGAAATCTGGATGGCCTCCTGCACTCCCGTAACCAAGAACCTCCCAGAAAATAATCCATCTCCCGCAAATTAATTAAATCTGCATGTTTTACTACTGTATTACTCTTTATTATCATTTATCTTATGGAATTTTCGAAGTATGGAGTGAAATTGATTGGCTAATCAGCCTGCTAACAAACACTTCCTTTCATTCTTCTCTTGAAAGTCCACTAAGAATACAAAAATATCACTTCATCTAGTCCATCAACAGATCGCTCTTTATAATGATAGTGTGAAGGGTGGTTTATCCAATAAAAGTGAGCTTGCTTTGATTTGATAGGAATTTGGAAAAAATACAAATGCTCCCATGAAGTCTAGTCGTGTAAAGACAGAACTGATTGATGTAGATTTGTTTCGAGGTAAGAATTAGAATGGCCTTGAATAGAGAATATAAATGGTTCATTCCATAAAAATTCTTTTATCAATTCTTTCCTTAAACTTGGTCAAAGGAATATTTGGTCTGTTTTTTTGAAATGCAGTATTGGAAACTGTAATAGGAATATAGTATAGTGCCTTGAGACAGGTTTTTTTTTCTGTGGAAGGCACTATATAAATATATAACTATTGACCATTATATACTATATTTATATATCAGATTTGGTTAGAATGTATGATATTGTATACTATAAAGTATTGGCTTTCATAGTAAAATCAAAACATTTATTTTTTTTATCTTTGGTATGAAAAATACAAGACACTTTGCTGTGTTAGAAAATTGACTATATACTATATTTCATCTTTTATAATAGAATTTTATTTCTTTCTATCTGTACTGTATTTTAAAATATGTTGGTATAGGTGATAATCTAACAAGTTTTAACTTTATAAATACATATATTCTCCTTAATTTTTGAGGCTCAAATTTCACCAAAGCCAAGCCAGAGTATGCATGGATTGGAATCACAAGGCGTGGTATCACTCGGGTCATATTTTATCCATTCTGCTACAAATGGTATTTATCATTATTAGTTTTTATTAAAGATTCTTAAAGTTAGCATATAAAACAAAATCAAATAAATATGTAATTAAAGAAATAAAGAAATGGGAAAGCAGTAAATATTGTTGAAATATAGAATGATTGATAAATGAATGAATAATGTTATCACTATTGCATTATCATTTACAGTTATAATATATAACATATTTGAAGGAACAATTCAAACCTACTTTTTAGTGCTTTTTAATAACATATTCAATCCTTTCAATTAGGCAAAAAAAAAATACTGCTTTTTGCCCAAAATTGACTGGCCTTAAAATTTTCAGATGGCCACCTTTCATGCTTTAATTTTTTTTTATACATTCACTATTGATTGTAGCCATGTGGTTACTATTTTTACTAACCACTTTATTGGGTATGAAATGGGTATGCATATGGGATGAGTGTTGGTTCTTATTTATTCGAATTAGGCCTTTTCTTATAGTGAAACATTGTTTCCAACTAACACTAATTTCCAAATTTGATTATTGCAACACATCTGTTTTGTTCTTGCCTTATCCTGATTTTTTGTTTCTTCATTTATAGGTGGATCACCAACATTTCTTGCAGACTCTTTCTTGTCTTTTTGACCCTCTATGCTATGCAGGTCATCTCCATGGTTATATACCTTTTTGGTCTTGTATCCAATGGGAAGGAGGTATGTTGGTGATCTTATATAATATAACACCAATGATGATTATTATTTTGGAGAACATGAGGATTATGATAGTGATAATGATTTTGATTGTGATGAATGGTGACAAAGATTTAAATGATTTTGATAGTGGTTGTGAAATTGGATGAGATGATGTTAAAAGTAATTGAATAATAGTTATCATCAAAGCATTAACAATTTTAAACCCATCAAAACCAACTGGTGTATTATGTTCACAGAACTGCGGGCAAAATGTATTGGCAAAGCCAGTAGGGTTTGGTCTTTTTACCACTACATTAATATTTAGTTTTTAGTTTTTTTTTAAATGATTTAATCTATCAGTGAGAGTGGTTGATCCAGGAATTCGAAATAGAGGGGAACCATGGAGGAAGTTTCACAAACAGAGGATGTAGACCACCTCAGCCCCACCATGGTTGGGGCTGAGGTATGAAAGTTTATGATTATGGCACCTCTGGATGTCTAGAAATGGCACTCCCAGACTAAAATTTGAATGTAATTTTATTTTTTTTTAATATATTTTTTTTATAATTTTGAAAAATTATGGAGGGTAGGGACCTTGCTGGGCCCCTTTTAACTCTGCCGCTAGGTGTGATGTTTTTCTGTCAATATGGTTAACCCAGTCAATTGTATAAAAATAGAGATTATAGTCATGATAAATAATTAAGAGTTTGATTGTTAATATGATAGTAATCATGATAAAACTGGTGAGAATGAATGCTGCTAATAATTATCATATAGTTATTATTAATTATATTTATTATTTAGACTGTGCCTTTTGTGGAGGTCTTCAGTCCTGTAATTTTGATGCTAATTCTTGGCACAACTTATTGTCAGGTAGTTTCAACAAAAGTTTCAAAGATACGTCACTTACAGCGCAAGTCGTCGCGCAGGTAAGTATGCTTTTAGTAAGATGTACACATAGGTGAATCAATCATAAATATGTATATTGAGGTCATAAATATCTGTGAGCTATAGTGAGCAGTGAATTTAGATAAATATAGGTTTAATATACTCAATGTTTTATCAATGTCAATGCGATTTACTAAATTATTGTAGAACTATTTTGATCATTAATAAACCAAACACAATGGATGATAACTTACTAAGTTGTTTTAAAATTTAATAGCTCACTTTAATAATACATACACTCAGTTATTTGAAACCACTAATAAGCTAGATGTGTATAAGAGACAGCTTCAAGACAATTATGCAACCTTGTTTAAATTGGGTCCAGATCTCAATGATTTTTGCATTGAAACAAAATTATATCTTTGAATTTGCACAATTTCATTGTTATAACTATACACAACTGGCATCTTAACGTTTTCTAAACTGCACTAAATTTTGCATTATATAAATCAGATTACACACAGCCCAAACCAATGACTCAACCTCATGGATGGATACAAGTTGGCTGTTTGCAATTCATCGGACTATGTTTGGATCTTATTGGTCCATTCAAATTGTAACTGCCACAGCATTGGTCGAGAGATTTGTGCTCAGTTTGATGTATTTTTTTATGTTGGCTGTTGCAGAAAGGACATACAAGCAGGTACATATACATAAGCGATGTTGTGGTAATGCATTTAACTTTAGAGTCCCTAGTTCAACGCTTTGAGCGTACACTATACAGATGTGTATAAGAGACAGCTAATAAGCTGAATCATTTAATATTAATATACAATTACATCACATTATGTATATTATGTACAAGATGTAAGATACATCATAAATTTATTGCAAGACAAATGGTTGTGTAGAAATATACAAAATACAATTGTCAAATTAAAAATGACACAAAAAATAGTTTTTAAATCAGCAATAATAACAGCAATGCCTCATAATTATATAAAATTATTTAAAATGTATCTTTGTATATTATTAGCCTCAACAAAAATACAGTTTTATTTGACTGGCCCCTTTAAGATATATATATTATTTAAATTGATTATATTTCTTTATCTTTTATAGGAAATTCAAAATAAACTACAAGAACAGAAAAAATCAGGAAAAAAGAAATAAAAGTCAACAGAATTCAAATGCCAATTTGAATTCTTGGAGCAACTTTCCGAAGACACAAGGTTCAGCAGAAGAAACAAAACAGCGAGGCAAGACGCGAGAAGCGCTAAATGTAACTTGTCTCCGTAGAAGAATTGTTTCATTAGAAAATTCAGGCAGAAACTTACCAGACAATACAAGTGTAGAGAACTCCAAGGCAGTCAGCATCAATAAAAGTGAACCGGTCTATGTTCCAACAGGCGACGAAGATGTTAACTGTAATTCAGATGAGCTTCTTCAGTGTATGGACTCACCTATTGAATCAATGGAACCGGTTGGTGACATCATCATCTCAGATTCCATTGATGACAATTTTGAGGAATTGATTCCAAATTCATCATCATGTTCACCAGAGGTTTCATCCATAACATTTCAACCATCATCCTTGTCTAATTCATCAATAAAAGAATGCTTTTCCTACATTCCTGGTTCTGGTAAAGATGAACAAATTGAAGCTGGCAAACACAACGTTCAAGAGATTGGTCCCACAGCAATCAAAGAGGAAGATATGAAGCTAAAATCTCCTCTAACAAAAGTAAGGCAAATCATTGTTAATAGTTTGTCGCCTTAAATTTTAGCAACCATCTTAATATCTTATGTTTTTATGTAATAAAATCATGTTTTTTAAAATGTGTTTCTATTTTTGAATTTTATATAAAAAAATGCAAATTTTATGTTAGAAAAACATCCTTAAGAAATTTAGGTTGAATATACTAAGATAATAGTTGAATATAATAAGACAAGCCAAACCAGTCACTCGTCGCAAAAATCAATTTTAAGTTATTAATACAGTGTTAGAGAGTAAAATAATAGCTATAAAATGGTAAAAAATCATTCAAATCGGACATTTCCTTATGAAGCTACAAGCGTTTCAACATACAGCTGTTTAAAGAACAATATATGAGAAATCAGCCTTCGAAGTTTATGATTTCAGGCATTTCTCATGCAGGAACTATCTTCAAATCCTTAAAAAATATTGTTTTAACACTGAAAATGGGGAAAATAACAGCATAGAATGATGTATAGATATATAAAGATTAGTTTAGTGCAATAAATAGATTTTTTTAAATTTGACATTCCAGCATGTTTTGTCCATTTTCTTTGAAACACGATTTGCGACGAGTGACTGGTTTGGCTTGTCTTTGCCAAAAATTGTATATTTATTACCATAATATGCAGAAAATATTTTTTTATATAATTGTTTATGAACTACAAAGCAAACTGAGTTGATATATTTTGTCCAAATTCATCCTTCATTGAAAATGTAAACATCCTGAGCTGTCGACATTTGATTGGCTGTGATACATATCTATATTAGCGCCGCTCATTATCTGTAAATGAAAATTTGTATGTAAAGCGCTTCCAATCTTCCAGCCTTTTGAATGTATACAATCCTCTGCTTCATAGGAGTTTTCGAGTTTTGAGCACAAATGAATGGCTAGCTTGAGGTTCAAACCCCTAACCATGATGTTGAGAGCCCAAATTGCAACCACTACCCAAACCCACATTAACTTGTGAGGACCGCAAAGCAAAAATATTCTGTAAAAATATGGGTTTATTTTAATTTTTTTTAAATATCAGACACTGAACATGGGGAATGGCTTTTCAACAGCGAGCATTTCAACTGAGTCAGAAGGCGATGACCTGTGGATGGATAAAGGAGACGATGGGTCATCACCAAGTTCATCTGAAACAAGTGATTCCAGTGAGTCTGATGAAGATAGTGAGGAAGAGGAACCAGAAGGGGTTGTCAGCGGTCATCTCCCAAAACATGAGAACCCATTTTGCTCCAGTATGGCTTCCATTCCTGTACTCACTAACAATTCTTACAGTTCATCAGAGAAAGAAAAAGGTGAACACGAAAAAATAAATGAAGATTTCCTTTCTGCAGATGAATTTGTAAAGAAAATATATTTCACTTATAGGAAATCATATATAATAGAAATATATTAACTAAAGTATCATAAATAATTAGTATATAGGCCTATATATAGATGTATTTATATTTTTATTATACATAGTATATGTCTATGTTTAAATTAGGTGTCTATGCGATTTGGGCATGTATATGTTTCGGTTCTATCATGTAGTGAGACTGATCACAAGTGACAAAAACAAGGTTAACATATTTAGGGAACATAAGTATACTTATTTGTACACAAATATTTTGATCGCCATTCCAACATTCTTACAGTGTGAACTGTATAATTATGTATACAGTACATATATAATATGTAAATACATACAACATATACTTATAAATATATATTTATTTGTTTCGCAAAAAGGCATGTTGTATGACCATTTTGGAATGGAAACATACCTCTTGTCAGTTATAATATTTCTGTCTTCCATTGTATAAATTCAGATCAAAGACATAAGTTTAAATTTTAATATAATGTATTGATTATATTTATTGATATGATGCAACAGTTGTATATATATGTCACTGAGCAATTGTCCCTAAAGCAAGTTTTCATGACGATCAACCATATTGGAAGTATGATCCCGTTTATTATAATATAACATGTTTTGTTTATACATTTCAATGTTTCTTGTAGTTGGCGTTCGTTTGTTTATGGGTAACGAGTGCAAGAAGACAGAGATGACAGTAGTAGAGATCAGCTATGCAATCAACCATAAAGTAGATTCTAGTAACATCAACAAAGCCGATTACCTTCTCATCGGTTTTGTGTTTTCTGCCCTCATTGCTATCGTTCCAGTTTGTTACAGGTATTGGCCATAATAGTTTTTTATCATAAGAGAATAAGAAAGAGAAATTCCTGGGACATATTGTTAGAAGGTAGGGCATGCAAAAACAGCTCCTAGAAAGGAAAGTAAATGAAAAAAGACCTAGGGGCAGACCATGCAAGTAATGGTCTGACAACACACAAGAATGGACCTGCATGACATTTCAAGCTTTTAGCAGGATGCCTAAAGATAGAAACAAATGGAGAGACATTGCAACAATTCTCCTGGCAGGAGGCGGTACCAGATCTAATGTAACACCGAAGTGCTAACCTTAAAGTATTCCTTGCTCTAATGTGGGCATATTATATCTGTTTGACTTCCTTGTTTAAATTGGGTCCAGATCTCAATGATTTTTGCATTGAAACAAAATTATATCTTTGAATTTGCACAATTTCATTGTTATAACTATACACAACTGGCATCTTAACGTTTTCTAAACTGCACTAAATTTTGCATTATATAAATCAGATTACACACAGCCCAAACCAATGACTCAACCTCATGGATGGATACAAGTTGGCTGTTTGCAATTCATCGGACTATGTTTGGATCTTATTGGTCCATTCAAATTGTAACCGCCACAGCATTGGTCGAGAGATTTGTGCTCAGTTTGATGTATTTTTTCATGTTGGCTGTTGCAGAAAGGACATACAAGCAGGTATATAAACATAAGCGATGTTGTGGTAATGCATTTAACTTTTAGAGTCCCTAGTTCAACACTTTGAGCGTACACTATACTACAAAAAGGAATTCTTATTTCTTCATTGTTTCCAGTGGATTACAAGTTCAGTATCTCACTACAGTTCTCTCAAAAGTTTCAAGTTATAAACAAAGTCCAATATTAACAGAATCATATTAATAATACAAAATTTAATAAAAATGCAAATGACCCATTCTTTACCTTTATTATTTAAACTTTAGAGATGCCTATTTGCTAAATACTTCACCCATCTTACATCTGCAAGACGAGCGAGGAAGTCCTCACTGCCTCATTTCCGTCTTGACCGTGTCAGCAGTATTAAAGCCTGGCTTGCACTTCGCTCATTCTTGAAGAAACGAGGCCCTCAACGATCTGTAGATGTGATTGTTACATCAACATTCCTTGTCACATTACTACTCATCTCTCTTCTCTGTACAGAAGTAAGTAAAAACATTTTTACTAATAGTAGTGGATACTTGTATAGCACTGGTATCTGGCAAACCTGACGTTCATGCTCGATGCGTGGGCATATCTCGTTCAGTAACTCCTGCATCCCTAAGGGTCTCTTTTTGTCTTAACTACCCAGGAAACTGGTACCAGCTACTTCCGTCTGTCCACCACAGGGGCTGATGGACCAGCACATCACGTATCCCTGTACTCGTCTTGAATGATGTACTAGATTTTTAAAGTGCACATGAGCCAACTTGTGTACACAGAACAACTGGTGAGCATGTCACTCGAACCAGTTACGATATGGCTCTAGGTTACGGCATCCCTGCCTTTACCACTTGGCCAATCGACTCACTGCATTTTTATACTATGTTAATGACCATATTAGCTGAGCGTTGGCCGAGAGGTAATGTTCCTGCTTCTGACGCTGTAGATCCTGGTTCAAACCCGGCCAGCGTTGGGTTTTAATTGGAGTTGAATAGCTCTGCTCCTTCAGTAACCCTCACATGAGAGTTAAACAGGATAAGGGACAATGTATCCGTTACATGTCAGTACTGGCGCTGCACTGTGGCTGCGGTGGGTCCCCAGGGGCCCAGCCAAAAATTTCCAAATTCAAATTATTTGGAATTGGACAATAAAGGAAAATTTAATCTTTAATTTAATATGCGTAACAAAATAGTGAAGGTTTGCATGGTGAAGTAAAAATAATAATAATAATAAATGCTTGTGGTACACTACCAGTTTTTGTTGACAGTGTTTTAATGTTTCAATGTTGCTTCAATCATCATCTTCTGAATTATGATTCTTCTGTACCATTAAATTGAATTTTCACCATGAATTGTAATGCATGCTACCTGATGTAGTTACCTTTATTGTGCATATAGCAACATAGTACACAGACCCATTTGACAATAGAGTATCATAAATTGAATTTCCACCAGCTCCTTCATGACTCGGATAGGCTACACTCTGAGCTGCACAATTGGGAGGTGGTAATGTGGAGCTTTTGCCTCAGTGTGTATCTGCTGCGTTTTGTGACTCTAGGCTCAGAAATAAACAAGAAGTTTAGGAACAGTTCGCTTCTGTTAACAGAACAGGTAATTATTGATGCTGAATTTAAAGTTTATTATTCTGGTATTTCATATCATTGTCAATGTCTATTATTAATGGCTTGACAGATTCTTTTTGTTAATACTTATTATGAACTGCTGATTTTTGTCACACAATGTACCGTTTTCTTACATTTTTCTGATCAGCTTTTGGGTCGGAGAGGGGTGGTAACAAGACAACACCTACTAAAAAATAATATATAAATGATGCTAATTGAAAATTAGAAGCCCTTTAATTTCATCAATAAATATCTTTCATAAAATATTAGAGTAACACAATTGGTTTCTATGAAGCAGATCTCGCTGTAAAATACGGAAATCATAAAGCGCAGTCCTTGCTTTCACATTTTATTTGACATAAACATGTGGCATGCCTAAATATGGTCAATGACCATATATGAGGCATGTCGTGGCGAAATGGTTAAATTGTCGCACAGACCAGTATCGAGTAAATGAGCTATAAAATATGGGAGCTCAAAAAATTGCCTAAAAATCCAAATTTGTTTTTACTCTAGATCAGCAGTTTGATGTCTTATTAATCATGTCCCAAAGTATTAGTTCTGGAAGTGGTCAACAAATTGTTTATTTAACATTATTTTAATAGTTCATTCTATTAAACAATGTATGCACAAATAACTTTGAAAGGCAATTACTCAAAATCATGTTTATCTTGACAATAAGAGTGGGGTACTTTCACTTTCCAATAACCGAGGCTTAAAATGTCCAATTTCAATGAATGACCCCTCATATTAAAGAGGTATCTGAAAATACCAATAACTTAAATTTCAATTTTTGCTACAACTTAGCCATTTTGCCACAACATGCCTCATATAGACACATCATGACTATTGGGTATACAACAGTTTTTTGTCAAAGAAAATTTGATACTCTTGGCAGAGCTTAAGAAAGGTTTAAGCTTGGTCTCCTGTCCAGTTTTCATCCCTGCATTTTGGCTGGCCCAAATTTTCTAGTTTCTCAATAAATACCAATTTAGTTACTTTGCTAGGATACCTCCCCCATGTGGTACATGTACCACGAGGCTCACAGACACCCAGCAACCTGTGATTGTTTCTATTTTTAGATCAACCTGTACTTACGTATGGAACGCAAACCAAAAAAGAAGGATGAATTAATGCTAGCAAATAATGTACTTAAATTGGCTTCAAAGCTCCTGAAGGTAAACGTGAATTCATACATATTTTCATAATAAACAATTCAACATCCTAAGTTGATTTCACTGTATTAAGGTCTTTGGTACTTTACTATTAAAATAAATGTGATTTTATATTTAACTCAAGGCACCATGATAACAGTGGAAACATGAAGCGTTGCAGGTGTGGGCTTTTACATATGGTTCTCTTTTGCAATACAAGCTTAGAGTACAGTACTGTATATAAAATATCAAGAAGTTGCATTAATAAAATTGATAATGACTTAATTAAAAAATATGATAAAAAGCTTAATCTAAAACAAATACAGAAAACATTGTATTTTGTTATAATACATAGACACATTTAAAATCTCTAAGTAAGTTAATAAAATTAATGATAAAAGCCTTAATCAATTACTAAAAGAAACAGCTTTATTTAAGTTAGAGATTATTACATTGTGTCAATTTGCCAGGAACTGTACTGCATTAGCCTCTCTTTACCCAGGAGCATCAGGCCCTTAACCAGGATATCATAAGGAGTTACAAGAGCTCTTCCTCCTAGGCACTCCCTAGGTTGAGGGATGCTCTTGTAGGGGACATACCCCTGGGGCTGAAGCATCCTAGCATGTAAATGGTGAATTTCATCATCATTTTAATGGATTTTGATGCTATTTAGGGTACCATAAATGCTCGAATAAGCGCCGCTCTCGAATAAGCGCCGTTCTTGAATAAGCACGCTGCGCTTTAATCAAGAATATATAGTATCCATGTGTGTAATGAAACATGGTTTTAAATTCAAGTGTTAAAATGAATAAATAACACAGAGAAGATACAATCATTTCTTATAAACGTGTTTTTTTTTTACATTGATAGGACCTATGATAGGCCTACTGAACTATGGGAAATCATGAAATAGGTAACATGGAAACGGACAAGGAAATATTTTTTTTTTAGCCTCCAAAAATTTTATAAGCGCTGCGGCGCTTATTCGAGCATTTACAGTAGATTGTTTTGTTTATTATCGTTTCACTTAAAAAGGGTTCCAACCATAGAACCTTAAAAGCCTCCTCCCAGGTTTTGGCTGTGAGTGAGTATAAATATGTACCTAGTAGGTTCTCAATATTTTTTAGAATTATAATTATTATTAAATGCTATTATTTTTGTTATCACAATCATCTAATTTGTGTACATTTCAATAAGATATATTGCTTTTGACCAGCTCTATTGCTTTACTACCTTAGGAGCTTGAGAGTCCATTCAAAATATCTGGTTTGTCAATGAATCCAATCTTCTACAACATCATTCGTGTAGTGGTACTGTCAGCCTTTTCTGCAGTGCTATCAGAAGTTCTTGGTTTCAAGCTAAAGGTAAGAGACTTTTTACATTGCTTGTTCCAGAGGTTGGGAGGGACCAGGACAGTTGCGTATCTAGGAATATTAAAGAGGTGGGGCTGATGGTTGGTGGTGAAGGTGGAGCACGATGATTAAGGCGACAATTGGTCACAAAATAGGGTGATATGAGGTGACACACCCCTCTAGATATGCCTCTGGACCAGGAGGTATGTGTACCCAAATTTGGAAATATGAAATTGAAAAAGTGGATGTGGTCTTGACAACCTCATTTTTAAAAAGATCTTATATCTGCCCTTGATTTGTTCTTTGAGCTGTTAGATTTGTCTTTGAGCTGAGAAATTAGGACAGGCCTGGATTTTGTTGTTTTTATGACCCTTTTTGTTTTAAGTTACCATGTGAATGTAACTGGCATAGGCTAAGTGGTAAGGTTTGTACCACCAATCCCAGAATATTGGTTCCAAATCACTATTGCTCACACTTAGTACTTGATTAAAGTATTACATGATTGTTTCTATAGGCCTCTCCATGACTATTACAAAGTATCTTTCATGTTAATGTCAACAGTTTTTAATGATGATATTGTTGTCCTGCCCTGTCCTCCGTATTGCTCCAACACACCAGTGCAAGATAAAAATAGATTGCACTCCAGAAACTTGGCTCCAGAAATTCACCAACAGAGGTGGATAAATGGATGGATTTATTCAGTATAAACACCAAGGATAACCCATGAAAGAAGATTTATTTCCAGTGGAGTAGTACACCGGGGACAATCCCCTACTCCGAAGCGATGGGAATTGAACTGGTGAATAATAGATCGCCACAGTTTAGTGCACACACGGTGGCTACCACCAGTCTAGCTGACAGAGCTAAGCTATTTTCCGACATGTCCGTCAGGGGGTCCGAACCAAAAGGCTGACTAGAGCCTCTGTCAGATTCCCAGAATAAACACTCTTGGTAAGGTTCACAAGGAGAGGAGTTATGGCTTATTTTGGACCAAATTTTGCTTCGACACCACAATATCAGGGATTGGCCACCACTGTGCACATGTTTTTTAAAAATTATTTATAGCACTTGCAGTATAGCATTATCTACTAAAATATACGTAATTTTAAATTTTTTTTTATCTACAGCTTTGGAAGATTAAAACATGATTGCAGGTACTGATTATGATTATTCCAACAAAGAAAACAAGATGATACAGGAACATTCAACAGGGTTAGCAAACATATGTCATCTAGAGATGTGCTTACTCCATTTTTTCTATGTGCCGTTGTCCATGAAATTGATTAAAAGTGTGTTTTTTTATAATTAAGTGTACTACTTAATATTGTAGTCTAATATTAGTGTATATAATTTCCATTTTGTTGTAAAATTTTTAATGCAATTATTACTTTTAGTATCTTATTCACAATGTCTACTTTTAAAGTGCAATTTATAATATAATTATTTATGCCTAATGATGGCTTCAGAAATTTGCCAACAAGGGTGCATCCAGAGGGCCATGTAAGGCCTCCAGTCAGGGTCCATGTGGTGCAATCCTCTTACTGCAGAGATGTTAGGGTTTATGGTAACAATTTTCCGTCTGCTTAAGTGGCAGACAAGGGTTGTCCTGACCCCTAGAGGTGTCCATGGAAATTTCCCTTGACCCTTTCTTGCTCCACCACTCTTTACGTCCATTCCATTTATTTCTGCTTTAAACATTAAAATTAAAGTTGGTCATTTTTGTGTTCTAAGTTGATGTGGCTATAGATAAATCTTGCCATCCTGGTTCAAAATTTTTGTTTTTCCTTCATAATTACATTTTTGTTTACTTATAAGACTTCGTTGATTCGAAAGAGTATTACATAGATGCATTCTATAATGGGTGATGGAGTGCAAGTGCTATAGTATGTGAAGAATAACATGTTTTTAATGATTGAACCAAGGGCACTGAAATTTGAAGGCAGTCACTTTACCACAATGTCAACAGAAGCAATTATTATTATTATTATTATTATTATTATTATTATTATTTATTGTAATAATAATAATAATTACATTTTTAAAGTGGCAAGATACTTGCTTTTGGATTTGAATGACAGATTTGAAAAAAACAGGTGCAGTGACTGTGTGGCAATGGCAGTAATAAAGATCTCAGGATAATTTTTTTCACCATGCATAAAAAGGGTACAAATTGGCTTACAAAATTATGAGTTGTAACATTGCATTTTCATTTTGTTGTGCCTTTCTTCATTTTTTTTTTATGTGTTTAAATATTTTATTCATTTATGATGTGAAGTGCATAGAAGCATTTTCGAGCATTAAGCACTATACAAGTGTAACATTATTATTATTGACTGCCGCATAATTAAATAGAATACCTCATGCGCAGAAAAAATGATTCAACCTCATTGTTGTATTGTGTACAGCAATTAAATATTAGCACACCAACAAATATATGCACGCAAATATTATTTAAAAAATCATGCCCCACTGAAACTTGCGCAGATTCTATAGCTGATGGGCTTCTGTGCATATTTTCAGGTTTGCTAAAGGCAAATTGCTGCTCCTGTCAGCACACACAGTATTCCTTCTAACTCAGTGTATTTAATATTTTATTGTTTGAAATGTTGAATATTATTGATATATTTCATATATACTGATTATACAGTGAGTATGATTAAATATTACTGATTATATTAAATTATTTATTTTAAATATCGTATATAATTAAGTATTGCAACTCAACTCACAACTAATAAAAGCCCTCAGCCTCAACATTAGGTACAGTAATATAAAGTGTATGTGTGTATCTACTTAAACAGTGATTAAGTTTGCTGTTGGCAATCCTTGGCTCATGTGCCTAAATTATGAATACAAAAAATAAATAAAAATTAGGTGGATGACCTTCAGCAACCAGTGCCATGAATGAATTGGGCAGTAGGATATTAGCCAATAATCCCCGGTTTTTTCCCAAATAGAGTACTGCTTTCTTGTAACTATTAGTTTTAACTAACTGGCTAATCAAATTGCTATTTGGCTAATTATTTTCATACCGAAGTAGCCAAATTGCTAAATATTTTGTTTGGCCCGCTTAAATGCTGTTTACATGTTCAATCACCTTTTGGGACCTGAATTGTTTGAGTGGTCTCGGAGTTCAGTCAGCAATTAGAGGGTGAACTGTATTGATATGACACTGTTAATAGTATGCAGCAATACACGCTTTTGGACAATCCTTTTCCTTTTGTCTATTTGCAACATTTATTGCCTCCCGCAAGCAGGCAAGAATCTCCCGGGAAAATAACCAATCTCCCAGCAAATTCATAATATTTGTATGTTTTTACTATTATCTCCCGATGGTGCCAATGGGTAGCAACTTGCACAGCAAAGTAAAATTAAATACGTTAAGAAGGCTCATTTAACCAGATCTCCCAGATGTAACTTCTTCTTACTTGGGACTCCTGTTTATATAACAAAATTATATATATTTATTGTATACGGTTCCTGAAATTAAAACAATCGAATCATTGGCAAATCCGTTATTTTAAGAGAATTTATGTAGTTTTTTTTTTATCTGTTTATTTAGTAAAGGACATTGCACATCCAAAATCAAGGGGAAACCTTTTCTTGTTTTAGAGTTGCCACTGGTGGAAAATGAAAATTGAGTGAGGAATATACGTTTAAGATTCCACAAAAGATTATTTAAAATATGGGTAAAAAAATGTGCAGTTGCATATGTAAATAAACTAAATTATTATTGTATAAATAACGTAATAGGCCTATTCCATGCTTTACATTAGGACTATAGCTACACAAACTATGTAATACTGTATAATGTTACTTGGGCTGCCAAATCACCTAATACTCTCCAAGAATATATTGTATTAAACAAAAAATATATGCTGCCATTGAAGATGTATTGTCTGCTCAAAAACTTACCATACAGTACTTATAAATGCTCATCCCTGCCATGATATGAATGCAATAGTATTCCCCTCTTAATATGTTAATTTAAATAAGAGGTTACTTTAAACATATTTTTTAATGCCACAAATATGGCAATTAAAAAAATTTACTAAATATAATTTTTGTAAGAGTTACTTATCAGCACAGTGTATTATATTGAAGTTGTTATGGTGTTGCTGATGAAGCATATAATTTAATATCAGCATATAATTTAATTGTAATATATGTATAAAACAGTGACTGATCTTTGATCTAAAGCATAACAGTCAGTAAGAAAACCAAAGCTTTTCGATGTCGCTAGTCCTTCATCAGTTGTATACATAACGTGTGTATGTGAAAATTGGAGGCTTTGATGAGATGAATTAAATGCACACTCAAAAGAAATTTTGATCAACTTTCATTTCAATTAATTTCTTGTGTTTATTTCAAAATTATAATTTTATAAGTTAAAGCTGTCAGCATACTATCAAATATCTGATTTGCCTATATGAGGCTTGCCATTCCAAAACCAGCGTACTGTCACTAAATGTTAAACAGAGTAATTAGCATAAGAATGTGGCAGTAAATGACCTATCATTTTAAAGCTTATAATATGGAGAATATGAATACAGTTAAACTTGCCTAAGTTGACTGTTCCTAAGTTGAAGAATTTCTAAGTCGAATAATTTCTAAGTCGAATAATTTCGTTCTTACTTTACATGCCAAATTACTGTGTTTCCATTAATTAACAATCTGTAAGTCGAATTTTATCTAAGTCGAACTTTATCAAAGTCGAACAATATTTCAATGGCATTTTGGATTCAACTTCGGCAAGTTCAACTGTATATTAAAAAACATCAATTTTCGTGTTTTAGTCACTGATGCTGGTTTCGGCATGGCAAGCGCCATATATATATATGGTTAAGCCACAGGTATTTGTCACATCATGGTTATATAAAACTTGATAAAGATAAGCTGATTGCATTTATCTCCTTTTGGATTTACCACCTCGTCCTCTCCCACCACCCCGTCCTCCCCCTCTTCCTCCACCTCCACTTCTTCCTCCACCTCCACCTCTTCCCCCACCTCGTCCTCCACCACGTCCAAAACTACCACCTCCTCTTCTACCAAAACTTGGGCCTCCTTTTGAACCCCTCCTTCCTCCATCGCCTTCTCTGTCTCTCCTTGGTTTACTCCTTTCTTGGTCCCTTTCTTTTTTTTTCCGGATCTTCAAGATTTTTTCATTGGTTAATAATTCATTATGTGCTTTTCCTTTTTGTTGTTTGAGTTTATGGTGACCGCGATATCGATTTCCTAATGTTGATGATATGCCAAGTTTTTCTGGAACATACAATAAATAGTTATTAAAATTTGTTTATATAGGATAGTGAGGAAATTATATACAGTACAGGCAGAATAAATGTCCTTATGGAGTTATTGCTTTGTGTGGTACAGTATACAAAAGAATATAGAAGGAATAGAGGTCAATCATGCATGTTTTGTGTATGAACAACCAATTCTGCAGCCATTGGAGTATGCCTTCTGGAAACTGTAATTTGTACATTGATTGTTGATCTTTTTTTGTTAATTTTGTTTTCCACAATCTGATCTTCAGATCTTTAAAAACAAAATAAGCTTGTTAAAAAGGTTTAAAAAGTCTCCTAATGTGTTACCTTTTTTCCTTTGTCTCCCTGAATTGTCATCATCATCATCATCACTTTCACCTGCATCTGTCCTGGCACCAACCTTGCTCTTTTCTCGCCAGTCTTTGTATCTGATAAAACAAAAGTCCAGTCATTTTCATTTTCATTTCATTTCATTTCTTTAGGCACGAGGGCCAAGGATATGCCAATAAGTGAACTTAATCACTATCCTACGTGGCATATCCATTTAACAACAGGGGACTTAATGGACCAGTACACCGGGGTAACCCCCTACTCTTCTCGAATGATGTACCGGGTTCTTTAAAGTGCACACGAGCCAAATGCGTACACTGGGCCCTGTCTCTTATACACATCTAGATGTGTATAAGAGACAGTCCTTGTCGAACCAACGCCGATATTAGAGCTGAAGGTCACGGTGCCCCTGACTTAACCGCTCGGCCAATCAACTCGCCTTATATAGCAGGAATTTATGAATGGCTCATCTATAGTAACAGGGGTCCCAAGTTGGGAGAAGTTCACTTCTGTGAGGTCTGGTTTAATGAGGACATTTAATTGTATATTGCTATGCAGCGTGCTACCCATGGCCAGCTGACTTCAGACAAACAAGTGATAATACAGTATTATAATTTGAGACTTGTACAGGTAGTAGATTCTCGAGACTAATGGGAGTAGTCAGTGTTGTGAAGGTTCCTCAGTGGCGGATTTGCCAGCCGCCCTGCCCCCCCCCCCCAACACTAAATTTCCCATCATTTAAAAATGGAGAAAAAAAAGATAATATTCAAAGCGGATTTGCCAGCCGGCCTGCCCCCCTCCCCCAACACTAAATTTCCCATCATTTAAAAATGGAGAAAAAAAAGATTATATTCAAATTCTGAGAATGCCATTTCTGGCCATCTAGAGGTGGCATAATCATAAATTGTCTTACCTCAGCCCCAACCATGATAGGACTGAAGTATACAGTGGTCATTGAACCTTCTATCTGTTAAAGTCCTTCCCTGCCCCACCCCCCCATTTAAAATTCCTGGATCCGTCACTGTCGCTGGTTTGAATCCTGTCACATCGTATATTTTCTTTGCTCCACTTACATTACTGCCATTTGCAGGGTAACATAAACAAAATCCTAATTAGGTAAAACAAAGCTGAATTAATCTGTAACAAACCCTGATAGGCTATTCAGTAATTAACTATCTTTACACTGTTAAGGTAAGAATTTAGATGTTAATTCCACAAGCAAAATTGATTCGTTGAAATGGATCAACACCCCAACCTGATTGGCCATACCTGTTAGTTTTGTATGATGCAGAGATGTACCTTCCACTTTCTGTTTTTATTTTTTTCTGTGATTCTTTACCAGCTTCATTTATGTATTTCTTCTTTTTTCTGTCCCTAAAAAACCCAAACAATACAGGTCAATTTAGGAATACAGGTATTACTTATTATAATCAACCTAACGATTTTCCTGCAGATCAAAACTACAAACTGAATGGATCACATTCATGTAATTTTTTTTATGGAGGAACTCATCCATCAGAGATATATATTAATATAACTACATTACATTATATATAAAATGAAATAAAGAATCATACCATCGGACCAGCTTTTGGTTTCTGTGCATAGTACTGCTATCATCCTGCGTGAAGTCGAGTATAGCGGACTGTGCTTGCTGACTAAACAACGAACCAACACTCAGTCTACATACAGAAAGCAGAAAGGACAAAGTGAGAAAACTAAGTATTGAATACAAGAGTTGTTCAAGGTGAAGCCTGCTTTGTGAATAACTGGAAAAAGTGGGGAATGGAGAGGAAGGTGAAAGCAAGAAGAAAAAAGAAGAGCAGGGAATGAAGAAGAGAAGAGGAAAATGTGAGAAAAAGTAAAAGTAAAAGAGTGAGGAAAATAATAATTATACTAATTTATTAACTTCATAAAAAATGTTCAAATGCACATTACTATATAATTTATTTATTTAGACTTTATTTAATGAGGATAACCTGTAAAGCTCACCATTAATGGAGAGCTGATATTAAGGGGTCCTCAACAAACAAATATAAAATACACAGTAATAAGCAGAGAAATATTAAAAGGATAATTATATCATTACAATAGCAATAATTCAGAATGCAAAACACAGCAATAGCAATAAAAAAATAAAAAAAATAAAAAAAATAAAAATAAAATTAATAAATAGAAATAAATAAATAAAAATAAAAGAATAAGCTGAACATTCACAAAAAAAAAATCACAATAAACATTCTTAAATAATAGAGATTACCTATAAACTATTTTGGAAAATAGATGCTTTAGATAGTGGCAAACGATGTGCATTGGCAAAGTTCAGTGGTAAATGAATTTATACACATGGGGCAAAAAAGTCAAAGGAACATCAACTAGATTCTAATTTATGTTTTGGAACACCACGTGCCACTGCTCTAGTTGCCGTCGAACGAGTAGGAAGTCCAGAAAGTCTACTGGTAAGATATTCAGGAGCATTACCCGAATGATCTTCAAAGGAAATACTGCTGGTAACAGACCCGTTCTTCAACATTCATAAGATGAAGAGAATTACCATAATGGAGAACAGTGGTAGGAGTACAGTGATCAGTTTTTAAGAATGTACGCAGTGCACGATTCTGCATTTTTTCCTACTGCTAGGGCCCCAAAGTGTTATACCATAGTCTATTAAGTATTAAAGTTTTGTAAATTAGTAGTGCAGTGTTATTATTAATAAATTTCCTCGTCCTGGCAAGGAAACGAGTAGTCAGTGCAAGTTTTGAGCAAAGCACTGACATGTGTCTGCCAGGTATAAGCTTATTGTCAATATATACTCCTAAGTGTTTGTTTGATTGGTTTGAACTTTAACATTAATATGATCAGGCCAAAAAAATAAATTGTTTGCCCTTTTTTTTAAATAATGATAAATAGGAGCGGGTGGAAAATGTTTTTTATTTATTTATTTATTTTTTTAAAATATTCATCAGGTGGAATAAAAATAACTCACAGAGGCCTAAATTGGTAATATCTTACATCAGACAACAGTTCTTTAGACTAATTTGTGGGGCATCTGGCAAAAACTAAAGATAAATTCACTCACATTTTTTTAATTTGTAAGGAAAAAAGCTAAAATGTTTTTCTGCCCCTACTTTTTCAGTGAGTTAGGGGCGGGTGGAGGAGGGCAAACAAACAATTTATTTTGTTTGGCCTTATTATTAGAAAGTTGCCCAGGTGTGCCAATGAGCATCACCTCAGTTTTGTCTAGATTCAAAGAAAGTTTGTTAGAGTTGTTAACATCTTTCATATCATTTGTGGTAATTTCATTAGTGTTAGTTCCTTTAACGTAAATAATAGTGTCATCTGCATTCAGATAGGTCGTGCAATATCTAGTTACAGTGTGAAAATCATTAATAAAAATGTGAACAAAAGAGGGCCCAAAATCGAGCCATGAGGAACACCAGAATTAATTGTAAGACATTGAGATAATTTACTTTTAAACTTAACATGCTGAGATCGATTAGTGAGGTAAGAATTGAACTATTTGGTTGCAGATTGGTGAATAAAATTGGTTATAAAATGACATTTTACCTAAGAGAATTGAAAGGTTCACTGTATCGAAGGATTTACGCAGGTCGATAAACACTGCGCCAGTAAGTTTACCCTTATCCATACTGTTTAGCCAATTACTATATGAATTTATCAAAGCGGTAGTAGTGGAATATCCAGGACGAAAACCGGACTGGTGTGCACCATAGAGGTAGTTTGCACAAAGTAAATTATTATTTGACAGGTGATCATATAATTGGACATGGAGAGCTTTTTCAATTATCTTTGAGATTGCTGGGAGAACAGAGATTGGTCTAAAGTAGTTTAAGTTGTTCCTTCGATCCATTTTGTGGATAGGCAGAACCTTAGCAATCTTCCATTCTGCGGGGACACAGCCAGATTTTAAAGAAAGATTAAAAAGGTGAAATAACTGGTGCAGAAATTTTTAAGAGCTTAATGGATAAGCAACTGATACTAGTAGATGTTCCGGAGTCCATTTGACTGAGCGACTTTAGTACAAAATCGTTTGTTATTTCTTTAAATTGAAAATGTGTGAGAAATGAACAAGGATCAACATTGTACTAGAAAAAAATCATAGTTTCAAGTCGTTGGGGAATATTAATAAAATAGTCGTTAAATGTATTAGAGATAGTCTTGTCATCAGTAATTAAACAATCCTCAGCAATGACAGCATTTGGTAAAATTCATCTATTATGCATTTTGAAATAATGTTTTTTAGTATCCCTACATAATTTTGTAACACAATTTCTAAGCTGTTTAAATCTTCTACAGAATACAGTGTTTCCAGTTTTATTCTCATCCCTTTAATTTATTTTTTTTTCTATTTCCATGCCATCTAGCTTTTATAGCTTTAACTAGGATAGGAGGCGCCCGAATCCGAGATGGCCGAGACTCAACAGGTGCTGACTGTAGTTCAATTAAATTGAACCCTAGCCAGCGATGAGGTCGTATTCCCATACTTCGGTTTGGGTGCTGGAATGTTATTCAAATTTCACTTCTTTTTATTTTGTGGTTTTGGTTTCCGTTCCATCTTTACACTTGCCTGATAGCGCTTAGAGACTTTTTGTATTTTGCGCTCTATAAATTAATAACCATTAACCATTTGATTTAGCTTTAATTTTATAACTTTCATGCATCAGTTCAAGGATGTTATCACGGCCTTCAAGCCATGGAGGGAGTTTATTTTTAAATCTTTTTGTGACATAAGGTGCATGTTTATCAGTATTATATAGAGATTATGTAGGATTCGATATCCAATTCCAACATCATCAATTTGATCTATAACAGCCCACAAGATTTTATTAATATCTTCAAGGAAAAGTTGTTCATTAAAGTTTGTCCAATTTTGTTTGTTTTTAATTTCAATGCCGTGTAAATAAAGTCATGGTCACTCATCCCAGACTTGATAATACAGGTATCTGAATGAATATCAATATTTGTTGTAAGAATCAAATCAATCAATGATTGACAGTTGCTAGTTGAACATCAATTAAAATAGCCTCTAATTTGTGAGTCTTCATCAAGTATAATTTCTCTAAAAGATAAAGTATTAGCAACACACATAGCAATTCCCCCACCATGTCTATTTCTATCATTACGTATAAGGATGTAACCATTGATCCACACCTCACTGTCACTAATATCCGGGGAAAGTTTAGCTTCAGATATTGCAAGAATAAGAACAGGCATGTCATACATAACTAAGCGTAGTTGATCAATCTTCATCGGGATACTGTAAATATTTAAATGAGCCAGCTTGAGACCATTATGCGATTTGACGTCATTTAGTGTAAAGCTGCTTTTATTTAAATTCACAGGTCCTGGATTAGGATAAACATCACCAGAGAGTTGAATTTGTAATATATGACATGAATTGTATTATTATGAAGAGCATTATAGCAACATTTCCATAAAAGTACACATTTGGTATACCGACAAACAGTACCACCATTAGATAAAACCATACTACATACCGTAGGCTCCAGCGGTTGATAAAATGCAAATAAGAAAATTAAGTAAAATCCGTAATTCAAGATTCATATTGTAGGTTTACATTATTGTAGATAAGTATTCTTCACCAAAGTAGTAATATAAGAGAAATATATAAAGTAACTTCACATGTAGGTTAAGCTCAAAACGTCAGTATGGCGTCTTCTTTTTAAGAACAGCATGCAAAAACAAGTACCGTTCAAATACTGTGCCGGATTTGAATACCATGCACAAATGTACATGACATAGAATAGAAGCATTGGGCCTAGCTGAAATTCATAGGGTAAAATTCATGACTAACAACAAATAATTCAGCCAAAAGTGGTTTCATCAGATTAGAACAGTCTCTTGAATATATTGAGCAAAGAATCGACCAAAATGGCTTTGTCAAAAAGGTAATAATCTATGGTTAGAGAGACCAAACTACACACCACCACTTCCATTCATATAATTGATAAGTATACAAAATTAATAGTTAGTGTTATTTCAAATGCTTTTTTTCTTGTGTGCAATTTTTATTAGTAATGTTTTTGAATTGTATTGCTGATTTGTTTTTTTAAATTTGTAATTGATCCTTCTTTAGTGTTAAGTAGTTAAGTGTTATTTGAAATGGGTTTTTTTTTATGTGCAATTATTATCATTAATGTATTTTGAATTGTATTGCTGAATTGCTTTTTGAATTTATAACTGAACCTTTTTATAGTAGTTATGTGTTATTTGAGAAGTTTTTTTTATGTGCTAATTAGTTTTTTTGAATATATTTAAATTATAATTTTTGAAAAAATAATGGTGATATTAATTGTAGTTTGTAATAATAATAATAATAATTTACTGTATAGGATGTTATATGTATAGTTTCTATTTTTGTAATTATTCATCTCAATTCATTTTATTACGCTATGATGATTGAATAAAATATACCAGAATATATAAAATTTGCAGTAAAAGATCAGCATAATGAGTAAGTCAAGCATATTCCATCACAATGAAAAAGCAAGAAAGAAGAGAAGTTGAAAAAGAGAAGGGGCGGAAGAGGAAAGAATGGTAGGAAGAGAGAAGGAACAGGATTGAACTACAATTGACCTTTCCAGAGTATCAATCAAACTTAACAAATGACCAATCAGAACATCACTAAGAATACGCACTTATCTCACAAACACACGTGTGTCCAACAATGCACATGCTCCCGTACATTTACGCTACTTTTTTGTGGGAAATAAGAAACAATATAGAGGATGCAGGGATTAACGGAAAGGTCCATAGTACTCACCCTTGCTCGGTCTCTTTGTCAGCAGGTGTGTACGATACATAATAATCACTTTCTTTGCCAAGTTTTGCTGACTTGCGCCCTCTACTGCCATCAATAATAACTGAGAATGTTTCCTTAAATTGAAAAAGAACAGAAACAAACAAAAAAATATTATTTAATTACATGTTACCAGACAACATAAAAATACATTATAATAAAATAAAAATAGTAAAATCATTAATTGCATAGACGTGGTTTCTTGACTCTGTTCTTTGCATATTAGTATAAGATACACTGTAACGAGGACAGTGAAATCTACGGTAAGCTAAACTTAGACTCTGGGAGGTATCTTGCGGTAATAAATAAAATTATTTTTATTAAATATAATTTCTTTCAAAATGATTGAAAGTATATATTACCATTGCACTTTCAACACCATCACTGTCTGCTTTCCGTTTTGTTCCTCTTTCAATTTCTTCGGATTTTATTGGTTCTTTGCTTTTCACCTGATTCCTCTTCTTTGTCACCAACTTTTGGTGCATTTTACGTTTTGTTTTCATAACATCAAACGCTGAACTCTTTGCTGTTGTGTTTGTTTCAAATATTGTCTACAAAAATATATAAAAATTAATCGCTCTAGAAAGCATTTGTATAAAATGTCTTAGATAATCAAATGGAATATAGTTTGACTGGAAAATATAGTTCAGTAATAGTCTGCAAGTTGATACAGTAAAAAGTACAGTATGTAAAACTGCGGCAAGACTAAAGTTTTTGGCTGTGTCTCACTGACATTGATGACTTTTTTGATACTTTTAAATGAGCAATTTTACAGAGAGCAGCTCAGCTCAGTTGGCTAAACTGGTCACAGCCACTGTGTATAAGCTCAAATATGGAGATCTCAAGGTCCACAGTTCAATACCCATCGCTGCTGAAGGGCAAATGCAAGATACGATAGCACACCGTCTTACTGATGAGATGTTTAAGTTGTAAGTCCTGTGTGCATTGTGGCCCGTGCACACGTTAAAGAACACAGTACACTATTTAGAAAAGTGTAGGGGATTGTCTCCTGGTGTACTGCCCAATTACCACTAGAAGGAGCCCACTGGAAATTAGTCTTCTTCAGACTTTAGTGAGTTATCCTTGGTGTTCACATCGAATATATGCATCCATCCAACTGAATATTCTAGTGTTTTTGTTTAGTTAAAAAGCCTAGTCTTCACTGTATCATATGCTCATATCCTTTTCATACTTACTGTGTTTGGTCGATAGTTCTTGATGCCATCCACAAGTTTGTATCTTGTTGTTTCATCCACATCTTTTACATCTAGATGCATAAAATATAAAAAATATAAAAAATAGATTAAAATAAATATAACACCAGATGGAAATATTGGTGGATAAAATATGATTTTAACAATTGATTTCAATTTTTTTCTTTTTCTACTTTGTTTTTGCTTGTTCCCCCTTAATTTGGGGGACTAGAAACCACAACTTGGCAAAGCACAAAGAATTTCTTTTCTCCTCTAAACCCCTGTCCAGACTATCAAATTTTACAAAAAAACTGTTGTATGCCCATATATAGCTATGATGTGTCTAATATGGTCATGATGTGATGTCATCATGACCATATTTAGGCACGTCACATGTTATTGTTACAGTAGAAACCCTCATTTACGAACCCCGATTTAACAAATTCCAGATTTTACGAACGTAAAATAAAGGTGATGATGTCATAAAAATTTAAGTGGAAGATTAAAAAAAAAAATCCGCTTGAATTGTAACTGTTATTAGCATGCATACAACACAACACACCATACTATACATTCCTATATAATTCTCAAGTGAAGGTAGCCTTCTAACGGGCCTCTTCAAAGTCAGTGTTTTTATGGCTTCACACATGTGCATGCGACAAATTTTACTTCTTTATTTCAAACATCGTTTTTAGCTTTAAAATTCAACATAGTGCTTGATTGTTTTATTGAATGATCAATATATATAATAAAAAAGTATCTATGGAAGTTGTGTTGGAGTAAAATCCACAATCTAGGTATTTAAGAAGGTAAAAATGTCCGATAAAAACAAACTTTTGTAGGGCCTAGAGTGGGATCGGAATGCTTAGAAGCTGCCTACTGCAGGCCTAGGCCCCCTTTAGCTTTAAAATTCAACATAGTGCTTGATTGTTTTATTGAATGATCAATATATATATATAATAAACAAGTATCTATGGAAGTTGTGTTGGAGTAAAATCCACAATCTAGGTATTTAAGAAGGTAAAAATGTCCGATAAAAACAAATTTGTGTAGGGCCTAGAGTGGGATCGGAATGCTTAGAACTGCCAACAGTAGGCCTAGGGCAGGCCCCCTCAGACTTAGCTGCGTAGGCCTGTAGGCCTAGCCTAGGCTTAGTTTATGCCAGTGTAAGTAGTACCAGTGCAAATATATAGGAATTTGGGTCAACCCCGATTTTACGAATACCCGCATTTACGAACGGCTCTGGGCCCGTGTCGTACGTAAATGAGGGGTTCTACTATATATAAAATTTGATAGTCTGGACAGGGATTTACATTACATTTAAAAAACCAACCATTACTTAAATATAATTTGAATAATTCCAGATAACTTACCAAACATTGGGTGCAGCATGACGTTCACTGTATCAAACTCCTTCATGCGTTTAATACTAGCTGTTGAGGGCGCTGGTCGCGACTTGATGTATTGGCCATAAGCATTCTTGCACACTTTCTCCAATCCTTCAATTTCAATTGATTTGTCCTTCAGGCTCTGCAGATGGTCTGCCTCCTCCTCAATGACGCCTTGAGGAACACGGCCAAACAACCCATCATCGTCTTTAGAATTAATATATTAAAAAGATATAAAAATTATTACAATTTCTTCAAAGTTAAGAAAAAATAGTACAATATGCCTAGCTTCTAAATGCCACCACAAAAATTATTCTAAACATTTGAATGTTATGTTCAGTATGAGGTACATGGGTAAAGAGTTGATGATACCACAGAGTCATTGATTGTTTGAAGTGGAAATATCACATACAATGTTGCTACATTTAATTTCTATTAGTAGGGGAATGGTTTTTCCAGCCAAATACTGACATTAATATAAGATCGGTATTTCCAAACTGTTGTATAGGTTTAGGCTGTCTCATGTAATATTGTTCTTTAAAGTTGACCTACAACATATTTTTTTTATCATGAAAGTACTCTGTGAGTATATGGCTGTTGCAGTTCAGGCTATCAGTTATCAAACACTGTTCATTTGTTTGTGTCCTAGAAATGGCTTCTGCAGTGATAAAACATTAATTAGTTATACCAGTATTGGTCTTTGTAATGGCAATACTGAATCACAACTGTATAATACAGTTAGCACTTAAAACATTTACCTGTTGTGTGTGAGGCTTGGCAAAAGGTCAATGGCCTTCCAAGGAATAGATGGAGATCAGCTAGGTATGCCAATTCATCTGGGGCGACCATGGAATAAGCTGTACCAGTTCGTCCTGCACGAGCAACACGACCTATAAGGAAAACAAAAATGAGAAATTTAGTCCTCCAAAATTCAACAGTTAACATCCTGGGAAATACTGAATGTGATTTGTGATGAGTAGAATGTAGAAAAGAATATATTTGAAGGGGTTGACTCATAACAAAACGATTACATTGGGATATAATAACTATAGCCTTTCTTAGCAGAAAGTACTGCTTTAAAGCCAGGCTCTGGAGAAAAAACAATTTTTGATATGTTGTTCAACTGTTCAACATATCAAAAAAATATTTTCCTCCGGAGACTGGCTTTAAGTGAGCACTGTTTGGAAAACACTGCATGGCTACTTACAATTTCTACTAAAATAAAACTACTGTATATTCTTTCTTCTTTACACTGTATATGACACATAAACGATATAAATTGAAGAAAACATACCAACTCTATGGATGAATAATTTAGGTTTCGCGGGGAAGTTGAAGTTTATTACATAATCCAGCATGGGGATGTCAATACCACGGGCAGCTATGTCTGTTACCAGCATCACGTTCGTCTTTTTGTTGGTGAATTTTGCGACATTAATCTTACGTGCAGTCTGGTCAAGGGAGCTGTAGATGTATGTACAGCTTACACCAGCTTGCATCAGGATCTTAGAATAACAAATACGGACTATAAATTAGTTTTATAATAAATTATATTATTCGAAAGAATTTCAGGAAAAGCAAAAATGACTGTTTATAATATTTATTTTATTTCTTTAGGCACATAGCCAAAGATTACAAATAGTGACTAAATCACTGTCCTATTAGATAGGTGGCAATCCCTTCACATGACAAACATATACATGCGATGCTCTAAACTAAGTCTCATAACGAGGCTTATGGAGTATAGTTGTTTTGTTGTGAGAAAAAAATCCTGGAATCTGACAATACTTGAACCCAGGACCCTGAGATTGGAAGGCAAGCATCTTAACCATCAAGCTATTCAACTCCCCTCCTGAAGTTACTGGAGATGAGGAGACAGCATCAAATTCAGATATCAATAACACACAATTAGTAATGCTATTTAAAACTGGAAAATTTTCTGTAAAACAATTATTAAGTGTGGCTGTGTAAGGAGTTGGTGTACAGTAGCAATTCGGTCTCACAACTCTAAGGACAATGGTTACATTTCCACTGGCTTATCCTTTGGGCAGGCAAGCATTTTCATCACATTCTTTTGATACCCACAAATATAAGTGAATAGCTGGTAGGTTCGAATGCCAAAACACTGATCACCAAACTACAACATTGCAATATTTTCTATGAAAACAGATATTTTTCCAATGAACGGGAAGTGCCCAGCGGCCTTGATGATATGCACTGACTTTATTAAATGTAGAATGAAAATAAAGAATTTCGAGACAATTTATTATCAAATAACTTACTTCTTTCACAAATTCTACATGATGCTTGGTTGCCAGGAAAACAACAGCAAGCTCACTGGGTTTGACGACCTCCCTCAAAATGTACATCAACACCGGCAACTTATCTGCTGCCCTCATAAAGAGAAATGATGTCTGTAAAATGAAATAAAAAGTAAAATTAGAAAATAATACTTCATAAAATTGAGATCAAAGAAAATGGAAGCAACATCTTTGTCAACTCTTTCTATTCTATGAATTTTCTACTCCAGTAGAATTATATTTTTTCTAACCTGGTTCGGGATCAGTAAGTCTTATGATCACGTAATAACACATTTTAACAATAATAACACATGTAGCTTTCGTATTTTTGGAACAACAAGAAGAAAGATAACCAGTTTTCTGCTTTTACATGCAATTGCCTATCCTGGGATATTTTCTTGTCTACCAACTAGTGCGCCGCCAGCGTTTCTGCCAGGGCAAATGTAAACATTGAAAGGCGTCTATTAATTAAGTCCCAAAATATTGTAAGATGTGTATAAGAGACAGGTATTACATAAAACTTTAGGTAATACAATAAAATTTACAATTATTAATTAGATTGATATTGATATGATATGATCAAGGTGTTCTCTCCATGGGTAGCAAAAATTATCTTTCAACATATTTGTTGTAAATTACAATAGAATATGGAACAAACGATTTGTTATAGCGTTTAGTACGACTAGGTAAAGAGCGAATACGGATATGGGATGGGAGAAAATTGTACTCGTTGTAGAGTGGATGATCATTTTGAGAAAGTATGTGTCTTACCATGGAGAGAACACCTGCATTATACTTAAAATTGAGCTTAGAAAAATCTACTCCTATTGCAAAATGCTTACAAAGGCTCTGCAGTGTTACAAATAACTAATAAAATTAAGACTTTTGGTTAAAATTAAAACAAATTAAGGTAAATTTCCAAAACACACTTGAAAATTATTAAAAGTATTAATCAACTCATTATCTCAAAATCTAGGGATGATTGAGTGTTTGTTTGGTAATTAAGACCATCGCTTATCTACTTGCTAAAACATTTTACAATTACAACAACAGGTAACAAACAGTGTGCACAAGTGGCACCAGAAATAAATTGAAAGGTTAGTGTGTATAGCTTAGATCCTATGGAGAGAATGAATACAATCTCCAAGTACCAAACCAATACGATACTAAATTATGTCAACATACTGCATATTTAGAGGGGTTCTTTCACTATAGTGTACATTATGTTTAGAAGAAACATACAGATATACACAAGGAGCTATGTAATATATTGTTAATTTAACCAATCACAGGGGAGAAAATTCATTAATGTTTTGTTTCAACAGGTATAAATAAAAAGATGATTATGGGCCAGCAATTTATTAATAATGCCGGCCCTGTGTGAAGACATCACTTTAAGAGTGTAAACATATTCCGTACATATAAGCCACTTTATCTTGTGGCATGTAAATGTATATAACTGTGACCTTTAGAGTTATCTAATGGCCAATTGCTGTTGATTTGTACTCCCAAGAACAATAATTGCATTAGCGAGATAATAATGTACAGTGTTTAATCTCATCATAGAGTAACATTACTGCTCAAATAAATGTGAATACTATCACAGTAGCAGTAACTATATACTGATAATTTACGTCATCACATTATGAATCCCTATGTTAATACATTATATAAAATGGAATCTGCCAAGCTAGCAAAAAATGTTTAAAATCAAATCAAGGTATTCGGTTATCTGTGAAAAATCGGTACCACATTTTAAGTGCATATTTATACTAGAGCCTGTGTTTAACAATCATAAAAAAATAATAACAATAAAAAAAAAATGATAATATTGATGAGATATATAATAATCACTGTAACATTTGTATTTAGTTAATGAAAAAATGGAAGAGTCCAGTAAACACGGTCCTTAAATCTATACGTATGAAGTGTATCTATGCAAACAGGCTCATTAATTGTCATTAACGAAAGTTAGCCTGGAGATAGTAATGATGATAACATGTTTAGTTAAACAGAGCCTCACAGAAAAGCGAAGCAATGCTCAACACCTGAGCTCATTGCGAGTCTAATCCAATTGTACGAGGAGAATAAGTGATATGTGACAGCCAGGCAGTTCTCACACCAAGAAATGCAGCAGATTTAACGGTTACAAAATCTGGTTTTCAGGTAAAAAATTTATTTGAAGCATCTTAAAACAATTTGATAGTTTTGTATTTCTTTAAATTACAATATATACAAATCTCATGCACTTTTATCCTTGCAATTAGATTTTTCATTACGTCGCCTTCAAGTTAGTCTTGATCTTACAAAACATGATAGGCATACTGTAGTATATTTTAGTAAATTACTGATTTCATATTATTATAATGAGTGTTAATGTAATTAAAATTTTTATTACTAGGTTAGGAAACAAATTCAATATACAGAGTACAACAAAATAAAATAATCTTCAATTACATAAACAGCAAATGATATTCGTTTACAAAAATGTTCACGTCCATGCGGTAATTTTTATTCATGTGGAAATTGATGCATGCTTAAGTAAACATTAAAATCCAATGCAAACGCAGCATATATTTTGGCAAAATCACTTAAAATTTGTGATTAAAATTTCAAACTCTATTTGTCAATGTTCATCTTCACAATGACTTGCATCACATTCTTTAAAGTTTGTTTCCTACTAACTTATGTCACATTTATCAGTAAACTCCATGGTTAATTGTTCATGATATAGAAAAATTGGGGAAAAATATTATTTTATTCTATTGTAATTTGCTCTTTTTTTTAAAAAAGTCTTTGTTATGGGATATATTTAAAGTGCAATTTTTTGATTGATTTTGCTGTGTAGTGCTTGCACATGCCCTTTCGGTCAGCATTTCTTGGTAAAGGCTACCTTTGTGAAAGCTGAGTAAATAATAACAATCCTGTTAATTAGTTTCAGCAGCTCTACAATGGGCGTAGTTAATTAAATATCTAATTAAATCAGCATGACAGCATGCAGTGTTTGTCAACTTCCACCAGATGCTGTTAAATCCCATCATCATTATACAAGTCAATATCCATCATGTCATACCATGCCCCCTCTCTCCTCCCCACCCTTGATTTTATACCACACAGCAATAAGCTCCACGGTTACACAGTATCCTAAAGTCCAACAAACATAATAGACACCATCTGTTTCAAGTGGTTAACCTTCTTCACGAGTAAGTTTTTTTTTATTGCACATGGATGGACAATTATGAAAATCATATAAGTGTACTTAGTAGTGCATATATTCTGAGTGTTTGTCTGTCATTACCCTTTAACATTTCCATTTTTAGTTACTATGTTGAAGCTATGTACACAAGCAACATTAATAATACTTTACCCTTGATCAATAGTTAATGTAAAAACAAATTGTGTGAAAAAAACCTAAAACCATGAAAATCTAGGGGCAGTTTTTAATTTTATATTTTTTTTGCAAAAAATATTTTTTCCTCTCAGAAGGAATAAGAAAATTGTGCTAACTTCTGATAGTTATATTTCTAAAATCTATTTATAATTTTAGTATTTGGAATCATTTATTTATTTGCACAGAGAGACAGCTGTATTATGCACCCTATAAATCTATTTATTGATTAGGTCTTCTGGAAAGATTACATGAATTCAACTGAATTATTGAGAAATCAAGTATAAAATGAATGAAAATTATGTTGATATAGTAACTTTATAAAAACTTTAATTTATTTATATACATAAATTTATTAAAAGAAAGCCAAATAATTATATGATGTTTTAAAAACTTCAAAAAGGTGATTTTCTTGTCTTGTACTGTAGATCCTGCAAAATCAAGAACATTAAATGAAAGAATCATTGTGACTGATGTAAAATTAAGAACATTTTATTACTGATGTTGATAGTTGCTGGTGCTACAGTATAACATACATTGGGAATGGTCATCTTACTGAATGCATTTGACATAAAATACGTACAATGACAGAATACTGCTATCCAGTCATAGAAAATGTGACGGACACTATCCGCCATGCAAGCGAGCCTTTTGGAACAGTAATTGAGATCATCTACCTGATCACTCTAAGCATTGTGGGAAGCTTCGGGAACATATTTGTTATATTTGCAATCATTGTGACTCCAGCATTACGGACTGTTACATATTTCTGGGTGGCAAATCTTGCCTTATTCGATTTGATAACAACTGGTTTTCTGATGCCATTTTTTATCTACAGTGTGTTCAATAATGGCTGGAATCTCAGCTGCGAATTATGTTATTTTCTTGCGTACATTACACTTTGCAGTATTGGTATGTCAATGACAACATTAACATCCATTAGTATTAATCGTTACATACTAATAACGAAATCGCATCAATTCTATATTCGTTTCACACAATACAAATACATCATACTCGGTGTTATACTCAACTGCACTCTGACTATTGTACCGGTGTTGATGCCGTTTTATGGCTTAGGTGAAGTAGGATATAACGTGGCTCTACGCCATTGTGGCGTAATTTACGGGGAACTAGATTCGTGGAAATTTGAAGTTATATTATTAGGTAGTGGACTGACCTACTCTGTCTGCCTGCTAACCGTAACCAACTACTTAATATACAAAGCATACCACGAAAGTAGACGGCGGGTGCATTCCCACACGCTGACTCCAGGTAATAGCAAATCATCACCCCGAAGGCAACTGTCACAAACTGTACACCATTCAGAATTCAGGGTAATGAAGACCGTAATAATAATTGTGAGCATCGCATGCTTTTGCTGGATACCATACAGTATTGCGCTTTTTAGCAATAAGGAGAACACGACTTCCATAATCTTTATAAGAAGCGCAAATGTTCTGATTTGGACGAATGCAACGATCAACCCATTCCTTTATGCTCTAACTAGTACGAACTTCAAGAAGGCAGCGCATAGATTCTTTTGTTGCCAGTTGAATTTGATGAGAAGATCGCGTGCCACCACAATGAATACCCGTCATCACACACAATAGAGAAATTGAATC